ATAATTATTTTCAATACATTTTAAATTAAATTTCTTAACAGAATTAAATTATTTTTAAAAATTTTAATGAAATTCTTCGTAACAATTGAATTATTCTCAAAAAATATTACTAAAATTCTTCGTAGAAATTCGTCAAAAGAATTGAATTCTCGTAGAATTTTCTAATAAAAATTGATTTAAATATGAATGCAGTTAAAATTTGTCTCAAGAATTCAATTATTTTCAAAAGTATAATATAATTCTTCACAGAAATTCAATTATGTTAAAAAATTTATAAAAATTTCAATTATCTTTATAAATAATAAATTTTTATTTCAAAACTTAATTATTTACAAAAATTTAAATAAAATTTCTCGTAAAATTTCAATTATTTTTTAAAAACTTTTCTCAATTCAATGATTTTTAATTACTTTAATAAAATTTCCCAAAAGAATTCAATATTGAATTCTCGTAGAAATTTCTAATAAAAATTGATTTAAAAATGAATGCAGTTAGAATTTTTCATAATAATTAAATGAAAAAAAGCATGATAGCATGAATTTTTAGAAATAATTGAATTTTGAAAAGGTTTCAAATTAAAATCTTTGAAAATTTGAATTTTTCATACTTAATTAATTTTTTTTTTTGAAAAAGTTTTTATTGAGTTTTTTTGGAATTATTTCAAGTTTTTATTTGCTAATATATATTTAATTGAAGAATTTACGAATAATTGTTTGGTAAAATTGAATTGTAAACAAATGAATTTGAAAATTCTCAAAGAACTTTTTGAAAAATTATTAAAAACAATTGATTTAAAGAAGAATTTTAGTTAAAAATTTGTAGAAAATAATATTTGAATTGAAATGATGAAAATTTAATTTGATAATTATTTTTTAATTTCATAATTATCTTTTAATTTAGTAATTAATATATATGTCTTATTAAATTGTTAAGCAGGTTTATAATCATTTTCTTAATTTCTGCTAAAAAAATGTGATTGATGAGATAAAATAGATTAATAACAGAATTAAACAAATATGGGTCATGAGAGTGATAAGTCAGTGATAAAATTAATTCGCAATTATATCGGTAATTATGAGTTCGAAATAATTAAAACTCGTGTAATTAATCAAGGGAATGAAAAATATAGTTTATAAAATCGAAAAATTTGTTTTAATTGTATAAAGATAATTAGAGGAATTTTATTCGATTTTTGTTCAAAAGTAAATTTGATTCATTACTTTATTGGTTTTTATATATTTCTTTATGTTTGTTTAATTAAAAATAGTTTAGATACTCTCTGCGACAAGATATTTTTTTTCCTCTTTTTAACTCTTTTCTTACGTGGGAGTATTAAGCCAAGTTTTGATTGAAGTAACTGTTTTTTCTTTCTTTGTTTCTCCGGGAAAATTCTATTATAAGCTATTTTCAGGTTCATGTCTCTCTATATTTTTCCAGCAGATAATTTGAGATTTTTGGTCTGTAAATGTAGTTTATAAATTAATATCAAAAGCAAGCAAAAATATTGTAGAATAATTTAGAAGTACAATTTAGACTAATTTAGAATAGTTTAGAATAGTTTTAGAACAATTTTGAATAGTTTGGAACAATTTATAATAGTTTAGATTTTAGAATTTCGAAAAATTAAGAAAATCCCTGATTAAAAGGAAAAATTGAAAATAAGAGACTAAGAGTTAAGAAATATTTTTTACTAAAATAGATTAAAGCGACAAATTTAAATCTTTCAATCAGAAAGTAGAAGATGAGTAAAATCGATAAAAGGATGTAGATTCTTGATATAAGATTATCAAATGCACTTGGTAAATCCTCAGAAAATCCAGGTTTTAGACGGAAGAACGCGGTAATCAGATGAAGCGAATTAAAGTCAATTAGATTCTTTCGATAGACGTCTTTCCCTCTCTTACTCTCTCTCTCTCGAGATAAGATTCAATTCTAGCACGAAGTGTTTTTCTAACTTTTATTTCAAGGGCCTCCATGGGATTATTTCCTATTGATTACAATTTTCCTCAACTTCTTAGGTGCTATTCTTGTATATATACGACTCTCATCAAAATATTTATTTTATTTCTTCTTTATACTCTCGGCCTTTCTGTAAATTTTAGCTAATTTTTCCTTTAACATTGATTTAATGTTGAAAGAAAATAGTATCCGATATTGGTTTCGTTTTTTTCCTGCAACTGCGACAAAAGATTTTAATGTACACAAATGGTATGTTTATATATTTATTATATTGTATTTGTCGGATGGATATCAAACAAAAAAATTGTTCTTATTTTTCTATTCTATGAGAGAGTTTACATTATTATATATTTCTGCATGTTGTCATTTCTCTTTTTTTTTTTGAGTGAAAAAAAAGTTAAAAAAAGAAAACAAATAAAAACAAAGACTCCCTGAGTGACGCTTATTTCATTAGCTTAATTAGCACTCCCTTTGTGTATTCCAGTGGTTGAGAGTAACCCAAACGAAACGAGTTTAAAAAATCACGTATATATTTTCAGAAATGGAATTCAACCTCAAACGTTATAAGTTTAAAATGTGTGTATGAGGAAAATAAATTTTTTTTCGCATTATTTTCTACTCGTTAAAGTAAATTTTATTTTATCAAAAGAATACGGCCCGATGATTTTAATTGACATTAAAAATGATTTATAGTATTTTTCTCTGTCAGTTTAAATTGTTTACTAGATCAGATTTTGAAAGTATAACAGGCACGTATTATTGGTTGCATCTTGTCAGGGATGGAAATTTTAAATAATAGAGAATAAATATTTTTCGTTACTATTTGTAAAAACCTTGTATAATTAGACAAAATTTTTTCAATTTCAAAAATAAATATACAAACAATTGATTAATTAATGATAATTAATTAAGAACAATAATTAATAAATTAATAAAAAATAAAGATTATTTTTAAAAAATTTAACATTATATTAATAAAATAATTCTACATTAAGTAAACAAAAATACCTAATTTAATATGTTAATTAGGTTAATTAAAAAAGTAATAACTATTTCATAATGTACTAGGTAAATAAAATTAAAATTACGTTATAAAATAATTCTACATCAAGTAAATAAATATAATTGACGTCATATATAAATATATAAATAAACACTAATTTAATATGTTAATTAGGTTAATTAAAAAGTATAATGACTGTATTATAATATAATAAATAAATAAAATTAAAATCTATATTAATAAAATCGTTGTATTCCGGTAATCTGTTCGCTGTATAAAGTTAGTTGTTGTTTGCTTTTCTGTTTCCTAACTTTTTAAATAATTTTTCTTTTTAAATGTTTTCAATTTTAAAATTAATGTAGGTACTGAAAATCTTCGAATTCTTGCAAAGTATTTATCAAAAGATTTGAAAATAATTGAATTCATTTCAAGAATTTTATATCAACGTTTTTTTGCAATAATTGCATTCTTTCGAGAAAATGTAATTAAAATTGTATTGAAATTAATTTAATTCTTGGCAAGATTTTTATTAAAATTCTTTAAAATAATTGAATTGTTTGGAAAAATTTATTTCAATTTTTTTTAAATACTGAAGGTTTTTAATAATTTTTACTGAAAATTTTGAAAGTAATTGGATTTTATAAAGAATTTTTTTTAAGTTTTTAAAATAATCGTGTTTATTATTAATTGTAATTCCTATTAAATATAATATATAATAATTGTAATTTCCAATTAAAAATTGTATTAAAATTATTGATAGAAAATTAAATTCTTTTAAACAGTTTTATTATAGAGCTTTTGTAAATAATTACATTTTTTTTAAGAATTTCATTAAATTTCGTAAAAATAATGTAATTTTTTTAAATAATTTTAATTGAAAATTTTGAAAATAATTGAAATTTATTAGAAAGAATTTTATTAAAAACTTTCGAGAATAATTGAATTGTTTAGAAAAATTTTATTATAGTATTTAAAAATAATTGAACCTGTTAGAGAAATTTTATTAAAATTAACTTGAATATAATTGGATTTTTCCCTAGAAATTTTATTAAAATTGTGTTGAAAATAATTGAATTTCATAGAAGAATTTTATTATTTACAAAAATAATTGAACTCTTGCCAAGAATTTTATAATTTATAAATATAAATATAATAATTTAATTGTTGCAAAGAATTTTTTATCAGAATTGTTGAATATAATTGAATTTTTTCCTAGAAATTTTATTAAAATTGTATTAAAAATAATTGAATTTCTTAGAAGAATTTTATTATTTTACAAAAATAATTGAATTCTTGCCAAGAATTTTACAATTTATAAAAGTAATTAAATTGTTTCAAAGAATTTTTTATCAGATTTGTTGAAAATAATTGAATTTTTATTAAAACTCTTAAAAATAATCGAATTTAAATAATAATATTTTTTAAAATAATTGTATTCTCTCGAGAAATTTTATTAAAATTGTATTGAAAAATAATTGAATTCCCCCGAAACATTTTATTATTTATGAAAATAATTGAATTTCTTTGAAGAATTTTATTATTTATAAAAATAATTGAATTCTTACGGAGGATTTTACAATTTTATAAAAATAAAATTGAATTATTTCGAAGAAGTTTATCTGAATTTTTTTGAAGGAATTTTATTAAAAATTTTGAAAATAATGATTTTTTAAAAAGAATTTCATGAAAATTGTTGAAAATAATTGAATTTATATTAAAATTTTTGAAAATAATTGAATTTAATTAATATTTAAAAAAATAATTGTATTCTTATGGAGAAATTTTATTAAAATTGTATTGAAAATAATTGAATTTCTCTAAAATTCAGAGTAAAAAACTATAAAATATACCGAAATAATTGAAAACAATTAAAATTTGACTAAAACTGAATTAAAAATAAAAATTATAATTACGGAAAGTTAAAGATATAAATTATATTAAAGAAATAATGATTTAATACTTCTTTTCGTTTCATTTGAATTTTAAGTTGGCAGTAGTGCTAGTTTTTTTTTTTTGTTTTCACGTTGGCTGCACTATCTACTGGGAACAAGCAACAACTTCGGAAAGAAGCCACATCCCTCAGCCATCCAAAGCCAAGTATGGATGATTGCTAGCAAAAATGATGGCTGTATCGATTCCACCGAGTGTTCATTCCTTAATTCAAGTAGTGAATGAATCAAATTTAGGAAAAATAGAAAGGTAGGTAGTGATTTGTTTATTGTGTGAAAAAATTTCGACAAAAAGTGCTCCTCCTCATGTGAAATTCATTGATTTCAGTTTTCTCAACGACACAGCGTACAGGGAAGCCATTGAGAACTCTTCTAATTACAACACAAGACTATGCAGGGAACGGAGACTACGAATGCCTTTTCTAGACTCACAGACAGGTACAAATAATGACCTAATTCTTTTCTATTTCTACATATTTTCTAATGTCTACGTGGTTTGTTTGATTTTTTTCCTCCTATTTTTTGACACATTTCATTCCATAAGAATAAATTTCAGTGAAATTAAAAAAGTTTAATAATTTTTAATTTATTCACTTGTTAAAAATTTGCTTTTGTTTTCGTTATTTTTACAAACGAGAATAAAGGAATGGAATTATTTTTGCAATATTTAACTCCACCTTTATATACAATATATGTATATGTACTCATGGTAGAGGGGTAGAGGGAAGAAAATCAATAAGAGGGCAGCGACCTCTGAAATTGTATTCTAGACTATTTTAGTAATTCGATTTAAATGAAAAAAAAGAATTAAATATACATTTTTTGTTTGAAATTGAATTTTCGTTTATAAAATAGCTGTAAATTTTTCTTTTATTTATCAGGAGTGGCACAGAATCATTCTGCGCTGTTCATGTCTGCGAGAGAACGAATACCGGGTCTTTTACACGGTCAAATCTACACATATCCAAGCAAACGGTGGAGGAAAAAGCGACGTCAATACCTCATGCATTATCTCCATCCAAAACGAGTGAGAGGTGACATTGAAGATGGAATTGAACATGTAGAAATCACCTCAGGAATAAATGATGATAGTAAAGAATCTTTAGCACTTAAAGGTAAAATGACAAACGCAACATTTTTCTCTAAAAATCACTTTAATGACGTTTACATTGTTTATAATCAACGATTTAGAGAAATTTATTACAAATTATTCGAGCAAGAAAATTTTCTACAAAGATTAGAAAAATATTTGTTCTTTTAAATACAGTCGACTCTCGATAAATTGAATTTAAATGTACAAATAAATTCAAATTATCGAATGTTTTACCAAATTTTTTCGGTGGACCAGGAAACGTTTAATTATCTAGAGTTGATAGTAATTAATTATCAATAAATCAGTTGAAGTTCAAAATTTTCCAAACGAATATATTTAAAAATTTGATTAGAAAAATAATTGTTCTTCTAAATACAATCGACTCTCGATAAATTGAATCCCAAGGGACTTAACAAAAATTTTAATCGAATGTTTTAGGAAATTTATTGAGAAATTTAATTTATCGAGAGTTGATGATTATAAACGATGATCCACAAGTTTTTATCGTTCAAATGAAGGAAATATTTTTTATAATAAATATTTTTAGAAATTACTGATTTGAATAAAAATTATAAACTTAAATTTGATATTTAGAAACTTAATAATTAATTTTTTTGACAGTGACGCAAGATTATTGCAGTAAAAATTAAATTTGAAGGAGAAATAAGTTTCGTATATTTAAACGTTCAAAACTTAATTGTTAGAAACGTAAAAATTTTTGTATACAAATTACGTCGATGGAGTTCAAAACGTTTATAATTAACAATTAAAAGTAGAAAAATATTTTTCTTGACAAAAAGAGTAATAAAGAAGTTTTTATAAAAAAAAATCAAAATAGAAATATTCCTAAAGTTTTGAACGCTCAAATAAACCACAATATTTTTTACTTTTTTTAATTTATTTTTCCTTTTTAGATCATAATTTTTAAAAATATGTAAGCAAAAGAAAAATTTCATTCGTTTATTGTATCGTTTATTGTAAACTTCACCAATAAAGAAAAATTTCATTCATTTGAACGTTCAAAACTTTATGAAAATAAATAGAAAAATATTTTTTTTTCCAATTCGTTGGTTATTATAAACGATGTAAACTTCACCAACGTTATAAATTTTTTTTGTGTTTATATTTTATAATATAATATAAATTTAATAAATAATATGAATGAAATTTTCGTTTTTTTTTTAAATGGAAAATTTTTTGTTCAAGAAATGAAAACTTCTGGTAATGTTTACTTTAATTTTAAAATTAACTACGAAGGTAGTAATTGAATATTATTTCTACAGATGAACATAGTAAGGATGGTTGGTATTACGATGAACAAGATATGTTGGATATGGAGGCCTTCGATGAACCCGATCCCGATAGTGATTTTGATTACGAAGAAAGCTATAGCAGTAAACGAAAACGGAGAAAACCTCGAGGTGGCGGACATCATCCCGGAAGGGGTCATCCTCCAGTAGTCGACAGCCCTGGACCAAAGCGGACGAAGGTAGTTTTATATTTCAAACAAGGAAACTTTTTCACTTTTTAATCTTTTTTTTTTTTTTTTAATGCTAGAGATATTTTTTTCTTTATTGAAAATCTACAAGATAGGCAAGTTCTTAATTTTTCGATAATCATTAAATTAGAGTAGAGAAGGATTTTGAAATTCATTGAAGGATTATTTTACAAATAGGGTGGAGGCAGAGGTCGTAAGAAGGCAAACTATGACGCCACAGATGCTGATAAACCATTCGTTTGTGACCGTAAGTTCAACCATAGATACAACTACAAATGAACACTTTATTATTTATTTTCCATCACAAAAAAAAGACTTTGTTATAACTCGACCATTCAATGATCCAATTAAGCCACAAAACGCACTGCGTTAAAGGAGTTTTTATTGTTGTTCTATATATATAAATATATATCATTATATTTTTTACACTCTCTACGTATTAGACGTAGTTCTCAAAGAATATTATATATAAGAGAGTAAAATTGCATTAAATAAATTATTTAATTATTATATTCAAGTGATGCGTAATCGATCAACAGTAACCATCGTAGAAGTTGATTTTCAAAAAAAAAACTTAGACACTTTTGCATTTTATCGGGAGCTTTTTTTTTAGTCAAGGAATGATCATTATTGCATTGTTGATTATTCGATTAGTATTAAATTTTTAGTAGAAACTTTTTCTTTTTAAATTCAAGTAGATTTTGTTTTAATATTAAAAAATGTACCTATAAATTAATGTTTAAATTTCTATTAAAACTTCTATCCTATTGAAATTGAAAATAATTGATAAAAAAAAAACAATGGAAATTTAAAGATATTTAATACGATGCAAACGTTTAGTTTTTTATTTGTGAAGTAATAAGTAAATGAGTTGTATAGTAATTAAAAAAAATTTAAAGTAGTATAATGGTCATTTCTGAGTGTATGATTACAATTTTTAAAAAGATAGAGTCTTTAGATTAACTCGAATGTGCCTGCAATCTTTTTACTTCTTCCCAACGCTCCTGTTAGATTAGCAGTAAATCTTGAAGAAATTTTGTCCTTTGATTATAAGTTTCGAGAGAGAGAGAGAAAAAATTGATTTTCCTTTTTTTTCGAATTAATAAAATAGAAACGAAACTTATAGACTTTGGACCAAATATCTTGGGACTATTGATACCTGCCAATAACCATACAGAGCAAGAATGTCCTTGGCTCACTCTGTAGCGAGCTGATACTGTAGGTGTATTCGAGCATCGAGCATTGCATCGTATTAGTTTTGCTTTTTGGGCTGGAACTCCTTCACTGCTTGTCCACATATAGATAACTAGGTGGATAGGGATGTGCTCTAGTGCGGAAGGTGTGCAAATGCTTTCCTTAACCTCTTGACACTCATCCACCGATTCCTCCCCCAAAACGTGTTTCCCCCCCCCTTGAACCCCACTCACCTGCCCACCCCAAAAAAACCCCCCTTTTTTATTTGAAAAACTTTTTTTACGATGAACGTTGCATTAGAGGTGGTTTGCGGGAAAAAAGTATTTGCACTTTTGCAGTATGCAGCGCACGGTATAAAACCAGACCTGGTCTGGTCTACCATTACGGTCATTCCCACTCTACTTCCTCCGGTGATCTTGCTAAGGAACTAAGTCCCAGTCCTGCTGATGTTGAATCTCGGAGCACAGCAGACGCCGCTGTTTCGGACCAGTCAGGTTGGAGCCTCAAAAAATCAGCTCAATTTTCTCACTCACCACCACCACCAACACAACCACCATCACCACCACCACTCCACCTTTCTAAACCAACGTTTCCACTTTTCCTTTAAATTCCAGATTCTCAACCTTTTTTTATCTTTCCAATTTTCTTTCTTCTCTTTTATATCCTGCTCATGCTACTCTTTTCTTTTTTTACCTCAATCTTTCCAAATCTAGTTGATTCTGTAGAACATGTGTGCTTGCATTTCTTGCTAGTTATCCTTTTATTAACTTTTTTTTTCTTGGCAATATTTGTTTTTTATTTTTTTAAATAAACTGGAGAGCCGTATAATTATTAAGTTTTCTCATTATAATGTAAAAGTATTCCGTTTTTGGTACCTATATGGTAAAGAAAATAAGACATTTTTTTGTAATTCCAAGTCAAAGTGGTTTATAAAAAGTGCTTTAGCTTGAAAGTTTTTTAATAATTAACAGAGAATTTTTGCTCAAAATAAAGTTTTAAACGTTAAAATGAACAAAATTCATTTCTTCTTCAAATAAAATTTTTATCGTATTATAAGTATAGAAAATAAGTAATTTATATTTGAATTTTTAATAATTGAATTATAAAGAATTTTATCGAAATTTTTGAAAATAATAAAATTCTTTCAAATAATTTCTTTACAATTTTTTTAAATAATTGAATTCTTGTAAAAAAAATGTATTATTCATGAAAATAATTGAATTATTATAAAGAATTTTATCAATTAATTTTGAAAATAATTAAAATTATTATAAAGATTTCATCAAAATTTTGGGAAATAATTGAATTGTTTCGAAGAATTTTATGTAAAATTTTGAAATTAGTTTAATTCTATTGAATAATTTTATTAAAAGTTTTGAAAGTAATAGAATTCCTGCGAATAATTTTATAAAAAAAATTTCACAGTAATTGAATTTCTGTGAAAAATTTTATTATTTATGAAAATAATTGAATTCTTGGTAAGAATTTGATTAAAATTGTTAAAAATAATAAGAAATAATAATGAATTGATTAATATTGGATTTTTAAAAAATTTTGATTCTAAATTAAAATAGTACCTACATAAATGGTAGAATAAATTGCAATATTTTAAATTATGCACAATTTTGTGCAATAAATATTTTTTAATTTTCATATTGAAGAATATATACTTACAAACCACTTTGTTTGTTATTTATTGAAGATTTACTTCAATAGTTATTTATTTTTTCGTTTTTTGACTTAATTTTCCGTTTAGTTTAATTCAATAATTATTCTGCTCTCCTTTTTTTATTTTTCAGTACTTTTTAAAATACTTTTAATTTAATTACTAAATTTATAAGATACATTTTAAAGTATTAAACTTATTCAGGGTGTCTAACGGTCAGGAAAAAGTCAGGGAGTGTCAGAATTCCATTCAAAGTCAGGGAAATTTCTATAAATTTATATAAAAATTAAAATTTTGTCTTAATTAAAAATTTCTTTAATCTAACAAAACTTAAAAGATTTTTATTACCGTTTGTTTCTATCATTAGATATTAATTTATTGTTAAATATGTTAGTTACCATAATTTTGTCCCAAGAAAGCAAAAATAAAATTAGTAAAAAGTCAAGAAAAGTCAGGGAATTTTTTTCTCATTCCTTGTTAGACACCCTGTTATTAAATAATTTTTAAGTTACTTTAATTTATAAAATACTTTTTAAATTGCTAAATTTATGAAATACTTTTTGAATTACTAAATTTATGAAATAATTTTTAAACTACTTTATTTATAAAATACCTACTTTTTTTATTGCAACTGAAAAGTGTTAAAATAATCGATAATTTCATCCACGTGTGAGAATTATTTTTTGGTGTTCTATTTTTCATTTATGTGAATTATTTAAAACTGAGACTGCAGTAAATACATTTTGTAATTAAAGCGTTTTTTAAAATAAATAAATATTTTCATATTTGAATTTGAATGTTTTGATTCGAGATATTTTTCATTTGCATGCTTTTAATTTTCAACCTATTTTCCTTTTAAAACATTTAAATTCAGAAAATTATTCATATTCGTTTTGAAGCCATCAAATTGAAGTGGAAAGAAAATTTCTCATTAGTTTATAAATTTCCAAATTGCTTTTAAAGATACTGTTAAAGTTATTTTTTTTTGCTAGAAATAAATTTTTAATTCAATTAAAGTTTTTTTGGAGAATTGAATTTAAGTGTTTTAAAAATAATTATTGAATACTTTTTCTTACTGTTGTCTCAGCTTTCATATAAATTTATAAAATTTTAAAATTCAATTTTTAATTTCAAAAAAGGAAAACTAAAACGGAATTTACGTTTTATATTATTAATTTAGCTGTCTCATTTTTCGGATAAAAATCGTTTGTATACTTTTCAGTAAATTTTTTAAAAAGCATGCAGCACTTTTTTTTCTCATATTCTACAGAAAAGCAACACCCATCTTGATCCTTTTTTTAAAAATTAATCAATGTATTTTTGAATACTCTTGATGCGCGAGTGTTTGGTATGTGTGTGTGACTCAATAGTCTCTACAAATTTCTGCAGCATGACATTTTTTTATCGCGTTACAATAATATTTAATTTTTTGAAGCTTACTAAGTAATTATTCTCAATTTGATCTGATCTTTATTATTTTGCTAAACAAAAACAACAAGAAAAATACTATTTATACTTTTGCTGATTATAATATGCAATCTTGAAACTATACAAGTGTCTTTTGTAGAATTGAATATATTTGCATCGCAATTTGTTTTGCCTGTTTTCAAGCAGAAAATGGAATGCTGTACTTTGAGTTTGGCTATTGGTGATGGACTGTATTGATGAAATGCACGCCATTCAAGTTATTAGTCTATTTTTTCTCTTTTTTTCATTTTCTGTTTTTTTTTTTAGAGATTCATATTTTTTTTTTGTAATTTATCTCGTTCCATGAGTTTCTTTTTTAATTTGTAATTGTATCTTGGTTTTTTGGGTTAGGAAAAATATATTTGAAGAGGATTTAACAATTGTTTGGAATACTTTTTATTCGAATTGGTTTTTTTTTTAATATTCGTGTCAAAAGGGGAATAAAAATGTATTTTTATGAAGAAATATTAAAAGAGTAGGATTTTTTTAATTTTTGTGATTGGAATAGTTGTGGCTGGTAATAATTAGAAATTAATTTGGGTATTCTTGAAAAAGCGATTAAAGATGATATCATGTGACGAGATAAATTAATTGTTGATTGAAGTTGAAAAAATGAGAAAAAAAGATTTGTTTTGTTAGTCAGTGTGCATGATTGTTGGCTAGTTACGCAAAGCGCAACTGGGTATGTGGTCGGTTTGTGATTAGGTGGTACACGTCGGGGTCGTCAGAACACTGCTTCCTCAAGTACCTCGACTCCCTCTCCCGCAGCACCTGCTACGCCTGCTGCGGGGGCACCGCCTCAGCCTCAGCAGCAGCAGCAGCAAACGCTGCCTCCACTTCCGATGAACAACGCTCCAGCTTCACCTACTGTCTCAGCTCCAAAGGATGAATTTCCGCCCACTGCACCATCGCCTGGAATCATCGATCCAATGTCAGCGTCAATTAAAATCGAAGGAGGACCACCGACGCCAGGATGTCCGGAGAAAAAAATCGGCAAATCTGCTCAACCCTCGCCTTATTGTGACTTCTGCCTCGGCGATGCCAGGGAGAACAAAAAAACCGGTGGCTCCGAAGAACTCGTCTCCTGCAGTGATTGTGGCCGTTCAGGTAAGCTAGAGGAAAAAGTCAAGCGCAAATACACGCGCAAAGCGAATCACAATTAAAGTGTCACTTTTTTAAAAAGTCTTTTTAAAAGAAAAAGAATATTGATCACAAAAATTCGTCAATCAAATCGTAAAAATAATTTTCAAACATTGAAAAAAAAATTATAGCGAAATGGAAGCCAATATATTTCCACATGAGGAACAATAGATTTTTTATTAGATTTACTTTTTGTAAATTCGCGATTTCTTTTCTTTGTAGATATATTTAAAAAAAAAAAAGTCTGTTGTTTCAAGTTGATTTCCATTGAACTAGTAGGAAACTATCGGTGGTATTTTGCAATTTTTCTTGATAATATTGTTTTATGAAATTAAAAAAAGAAAAACACACCGCTAGTTGAATACTGAATTTGTAAAAGATCTAGGCAAAATTGAAAATGATGAGCAATAATCTGCAATTCGAAAAAATGATTATCAAAATAAAAGAGAATGGTCGTCAATTCAGAATCAAAGCATCTTGTCAATACTGCAACAAATGTATCTGAATAATAGAAATTGCCTGTAATTTTCCTCAATTTTTGATAGATAATTTCTTTAAAAATAGAAAATTTCTATTATACAGCATCACTTAGGGGCATGAGTTGAAAAAGATGAATTTGAATTCTCGTCGACCATTTTCTTCTTTTATAATTCGACACTTATAAGTTAATTTTTTCAAATTTATCTGAATTTTTATTAAATTTGTGATTCTCCGTGAATTAAAAAATATGATTTTATTAAAGTAACGTCATTTGACGTTTATTATTGTTATTTGAATAATAGAATTTTTTCAATCAGAGTTTTATAATTCGAAATCAAACACTAATGGGAAAATAAATTCCCAGAATCTATTCTTTTGAAAACTCTGATTCTCTTTAAACTTTGTCTCGACTTTGTCTCAACTCTGTTTCGATTTTGTTTTGACTTTGTTTAGACTTTGTTAAAAGAAATTTTTCTTCCGTGTAGATTTTTAATTTATATAATCATTAGTCGATTTAGCAAATTTGCTATTTCCATTTTGCAGTCAAGGAGCTCCGACAGTTTTATATAGTTTATGCTAATTTGCTGAAAGCTGGGCATTATATTTATCCTATTAATTAAATTAATATTAAAAATACTTTGTGTTAACTTGTTTTCATAAGTTTGTATTATAAGTATTTATTAGTCGTTTAAAAAAAAAAATGCATAAACTTTATAAAATTTAGCAAAAAAAGGGTGATTTTTTTTATCTAGAAAAAAGCACTGTTTGCAATTTATAATTAATCAAACACGATAATTAGTCTCGTTTTCTTCCACTGTCGAGTCTTCTTAGTAATCCATTGACACTCCACTTTTACCATTAAAATCTCCAAAAAAAATGGTAAAAGACAAATTAGCATTTATTTTCGGGATAAATCTCTAATTGATATCGATTAAGATTTTATTATATCTTGTATAAATATAGCAATTAATATAATTACAATACTTTAATCTAGCACGTTTTTATACTTGATACTCAAAAAAAAGAAAAAATATCAGTTTCTTAATTAAATTTTATAAAGTGTTACAATCTATAGATTTTTCACATAAATATAAATTCAATATTAAATGTCAGTCTTAAAAAAACAAATTTTTTCCTCTATTCGTGTGTAGAATTATACTGCATATAAATATTTTATTTGCGAGAATTTTTCCTTTTAAAAAAAAGTAGCACTCACATCAATTTTCAAATAACGAGAATATTTAAAAGACCTCAAAGAGTTCTGTATTAAAATCAAAAATATAAAATTGATGTTTGCTTTTTTTTAAAACAAAGCGTGACAATATTTAAACGTAAAGTAGAAAATAAATGAAATTTTGATTTAAAAGATTCTTCCAAAATGATCCTGGTGGTATAAAAAAATGCCATATTCCGAAAAAGAGAGAGGATCTTTTAAAACGATAAATAAAATAAATATATATCAGAACATTTCAGTTTTTTATAGGTCGTGTATTAAAAAACTTTTTTCCATAATGTGAATAAAATAAAATTTCAATCGTAATCAAAAGAGCCCCGAGGGTCCGATAGAATAAATCCTTTTTTATATACTCTTTATAAAAGAATATTGATACTTATATACATATACACTCGAGTTTGAAATGTAATAATTGCACAAAAAATATTTTATTTTCTTTCCTTTCGGTGAAATATTTCGAAAAACTATTGTTTATTTTGATAGACTGATATTTTATTCGTACATTCAGCATTTTTTACAATAATCTGTTTGTACTCTGTGATTTAGATTCTTATACTACTTTTTAATCTCAGAGAGTTTGTTCCAATTTTTCAACTATCTGCAAAAAAAAAAAAGAAAAACAAAACAAAAAAAAGCAAAAAAATACACTCATATTTATAAGGACCATGAATACAAAATAAAAGTTTTTTCAATCTTTCACGACCATTGCTATGAGAAAAGAAAAGAAAAAAATTATAATAAGATTTTTTAATTCATGATAAAAGTCGAATGTTTTCAATATTTATAATAGCATGACTAAATAGAGAAACTTGTATCGTGTAACTGAGTTTCACGAAAAATATATTATTTTAAATACATAAAAAAAATTCTAGATAATTATAGACCATATCACTCTGATAATTACATTTCATAGAGAGATTTTGATTTTTGACTATGAAAAAGAAGCCGGGAAATGAGTAAATTAATAAATTAAAAGTAAAAAAAAGTTCAAGTACAAAATAACGGGATTGTATTTGAAAAAATCGTGTTTTGATAAATTCGGAGAAAATTTTTTTCTTGAAAATGGAACCAAAATATTGTGTTCATGCATATTAAATTAAGAAAAAAAAGTCATATAAATGAAAAGGATTTGTTTATGTTGCATTAATTATTTTAAGCTATATTATATGAATAATTTCAAATGTATATTTAAACGCTTTAAGTGATTCTGTGAGACTGGAAATTATTAACAAGTTACTTGCTTTATTGATTATAAAAGTCTAGATTCATTTATTAAATCATTTTATAAAGAGAATTGATTTCTCTTTGCACTGATAATAATAATTTGCTTAATTTTATTATTTTTATCTCTTATTAACTGTTATTTAAAATATAAAAAAGGAAAACTTGCGTGAGAATGAAAAAACAGTATTTAAAACAAAAAATGAATTAATTTCTTTAATTACTGAAAAAATAAGTATAGATAAAATAGAAAATCACATGGTATAATATGAAAGCATGCAGATAGTTCCTCATTGTTATATGTATATGACATTGACTTGTTATTAGATAATTTGTAATTAAGCAATACACCTGAGGCTTACGAACTCTAGTGTTTAAGCAAAAATAATTTTTGAATTACATACATGTGAAAGTGTGATATGATAATGATGAATGCGAGAGAGGGAGAGAGAGAGCTGATCTGCGACGTTTATATTGTGCTGCGCAAGAAAGAACGTGAACTATTCCAAGGTACGCCCTGCTATTACTTACCACCTATTACTCCAAATAATAATAATAACGGTATGTTCAAAAAGGCAACATAAAAAAAAAAGATAATTGCAAGTATTATCAAATAAAATACTTTGTGCGGAAATATGATAGCGTTTCATTATTCCGGACGTTTTTAGTGCTGAGGAAAGGTGAAAGACATTCGCGATTTGTGAACAAAATTTCATTGAACAAAATTTTTTTCAACAAAATAAAAAATGATGAAATTAAAAAAAAAATGCTCTCTGAATAAATAACTCTTTTTCGATACTCGAAATTTGATCGTAAAGAAATAAATTGAAAAAAAAAATAATAGCTTGGAGTTCACTGTTCTTCGGCACAAGATAAATGTCCTGGCACCTTTCTCGTCCAATGTCCCTCCGTACCGATCCTAAACAATCCCATGACATATTCGTACGTTCTTGTTATAGGTCATCCAACTTGTTTGCAATTTACTGCAAACATGATCGTTTCTGTCCGCAAGTACAGGTGGCAATGTATTGAATGCAAATGTTGCTCTATATGCGGCACCTCCGACAACGATGTAAGTAATCAATTATTTTCGAAAAAAAAACCTTTTTGGAGGTAAACAATTCTTTTAAATTTTATTTAATATATTTTGCAGGCCTCGGATAATGTGACTTTTTTCAACTATTTTCAAACAATGCGATTTTTTTCGACTAATTCTAATAAAATGAGACTATTTCGTCTTTTCTTCCGCACATATTACAAGAAAAATTTCACTTTTTTTGGGCTTAAAATGCTACTTATCTTGATTTAGAAAGCGTAAAAAAATAATTATAGTCAAATCTTTTTCTCTAAAGTGTCTTACATTTTTCTGTAAATGTAAGTTTTTCGAATTGTCAAAATTTCATAAAATTGAATTGAAAACAAACGAATTTTAACTACTATTTTTTAAGCTAACTCTGTTTTATTTATTTACTTATTTTTTTAAGAATTCGATTCTAAAATATATCATGAAAATTACAAAATAATTAAATTAGAGAAGAATATGAGTTAAAGATTTTAGATAATAATTAATAATTTATTAATTTTATTTTAGAATCTAAATACTATTATCAACCGTAGAAGGCCTCTAAATACTATTATCAATATTAAAAAAACGTACCTAAAATAAAATTAATAAATTAAAAATTAAAAATTGTTCAAAAAACATCAAATTCAAACCGTAAAAGACCTCCAAATATTATTATCAATAATTAATAATGTTAGAAAAGTTTTAATAGAAATTGTTAGAAATAATGAAATTTTTGAAGGTTTGAATATTGAATAATTTTATATTTAAAACTTCTAAGCAACTTAGTTCTTTTAAAAGTTTTAATTCAAATTTTTTGGAAATTAGTTAATTTTTACAGAGAAATTTGAGTTGAATATTTTAGGAAATAACTAAATATTGGAACAGTTCAAGTAGAAATTTTTGGAAATAATTAAATTTCAGAAAGTTTTAAATTGAAATTGTTGAAAGTCTTAATTTTGAATAATTTTAATTAAAAATTCTAAACAAATTAGTTTTTAGAAAAAATGTAATTCAAATTTTTTTTTTGTGATTTTATTAGTAATATTTTGAATTTTTTAATATATATTCAATTAAAAATGTTGATTATTCAAAATTTTATAAAATTCAATTAAAACGTATATTTTAAAAGAATTTTCTTTTTTGAATTATTCAATTCTCAAAGAAATTTCTAAAATCTATTAAAAATAATTCGGGGCAAAAATTCAAGAAACTATATGAACATTGAAAAAGTTATAGTAAAAACTTTTAGAAATAATTAAATTTCAAAAGATTTAATATTAAAATTTTTCAAGATATGAATTTTGAATAATTTCAATTAAAATTTCTAAATTTTAAAAAATTTTGTTAATTATTTGTAATGTTTAGAAATTTTTTAACTATTTAATTATAGATTTTACGAATAATCAGGATTTTGTAAAATTTATTACTAAACAATTGAATTTTAAACTCAAATTTAAATTAAAATTTTTATTTTAAGTGAACTTTATTTATTTATTTTTTTAATAATTGAATTCTCAAAGAACTTTCTCAAAATTAACAAAAATAATTGATTTAGATAGGAGTTTTAGTTAAAAATCCTAAAAAATAATTTTATTTTAAGAGAGTTACAGTAGTAATTTCTATAAATAATTAAATTTTAGAAAGTTTTAACTTAAATTTTTGAAAATTTTAATTATTGTAGAAGTTTAATAATATTTAAATATTTATTTTGAAAAATTATTAAACTTTCAATAACCAATTTTAGTTAAATATTCTAGAAAATAATGAAATAACTATATCAGTTGCAATTTTGAGAAGTAGAATAAAACTTCATACTTAAAAATTCACTTAACAAGATTATTAAAGTTTTGAATAATTGAATTCAGAAATTCTAAAGAAATTAGGTTTATGAAAAATTGTCAAACAATTATAAATTTTGAGTAATTTTATTAAAATAAATTTTATTACAATTTTTAGAAAATAATCGTGTGTTTGAAGAAAAGTGTGGAAAAATGTTTGAAAATAAGACAAAAAAATAAGAATTGAAGTTTATTATAAAAATAAAAGAAAGAGTAAAAAACTTTTTTGAAAGTCAGAAGAAAAAATTGCCTTTTTTTCTTACTTTGAATTGAATTTAAAAAGACTCTATTTGAATCTGTTACCTAGTCGATCCGAGGACTGGTTTTGTATTCTTTTTAACTTAAAATGTTATTTTTGAATATTTTTGAATATTTAGATTTTTAATAAAAAATAGAAATATTTCTTTTAATAAAAATTAAAATACATATAATTTTAATTTCGAGAAAGTGGAAAAAAATGTCATTTTATTGTGAAAGTAAATATGTGAATATTTATAAAAATTTTAATTTAGTAATAAAAAAGAAAGAGTTGTGTTGACTATATAATTAATGAAATAAAAAACAAAAAATTAGGACCAGCTGCTGTTCTGTGATGACTGTGATCGTGGATACCACATGTATTGTCTGGCTCCACCACTCTCTTCTCCTCCTGAAGGCTCCTGGTCGTGTAGTCTCTGTTTAGCAGAATTCCATCGACGCGACTGAATTGATTTCTATCAATGAAAAAGTTCAACGATCCACCCATCGCTGTGAAATAACAGACGCTTTTGAATTAGGAGAGTATTTTGAACTTACGCTTTTCCGGCATCTCGTGCTATTTTAAAACAGTTGTTTGAAAGCAGCTAAACAAACTAGAGTTCGACAGTTTAACAATTAGATAATATTACAGAGCATTTGATAGAATATAACAAAAAAAATATTTTTAGTTGATTTTACCATTGAATTTTAAATTTTATTTACACAAAATATAAAATTTATTTTAATTTTCTTCTTCTTTGCTTTCAATTTTATTTTTTTAACGAAAGTTTCTTTTAAATTTGATTTGTTAAATTACAAAAAAGGGATAGACTTTAGTTGATTTTTTTTTAGAGAAAAGTGTAGAGATTAATTATTTTCTCACTTGAGTAATATTATCACACTTGAAGACTCTGGTAAAAGTTGAATCTGATTATTGTAATTGACTAATGCCCTTGAAAGAGTTCAGATGTTCTCTGCCATTAAAAAAAAAATACTCAATTTTTAAGTTTTTATTAATGTACTTTTATAATAGACAATTTGAAAAAAGTCTTCCTTTGATTGATCAACGATAACCTTTTTTTTTTTTTGAACTTTCATTATGGTGCATTAGATATCTCAGGCATTTATGATCTCAAGTGATTAAAAAATATTTATATTTACAATTTACAAAAGAAAAGTTTTGTCAGAATTTTTTTTTTTAGAAAAATGACGAAACTTTTTGATTTAATTGCAGCTAATTGTACAAATAACGTAGATCATTTGGAAGTAATTTTTTACATTTTGAAATAATGATATTCACACATTGATTATTGACTTAATTTTAATTATCTTAATCATAGTAAAGTTTAAGATTGATGCTAATCGTAAGACATCGAAATGACTGAAAATAGTTTTACATTTCTTAAAATACAATACTCTCCTAGTTCTCGTTTATATTCTATTGTCATATAAGAAATTTTTTGTTTCCCATATTTTGTCCATTTTTACATAAAATTTAACGAAAAAGAAGAATGCTTCGATATAAATTATCAAATTGGATTTTACATTTCGACAATTTATTCTTAAGATCTTTACTAATTAAGATTTGAAACTCAAAAGAGCCCTAAAATGAAAATATGAAGAAAAAGAAAAGAACGACATTGAATATTCTAGGATGAGATAATATTAATCTTTAAGTGTCTCGTAAAATCATAATAGAACTTCTTTGTTTATCTGAATGTACCATGATACTCAAGCTTTTACATTTAACGACATAGCTCATGGTAGCAGTATAGATATAACAAACTAATTCGATATTGCCAATTATTATGTTTTTTAACAACATAATGCCCTTGGTTGTTTAGCTCAGTATTTTTGTATTTTATATATATATCAGATGTACTTAATTTAAAAACTACTGCAGTGGTGATATATTTTCTACTCACTGATTGTAAAACCCGTGTTTTCTTTCTTTCTTTTATCATTTTTTTCCTTTTCTCTTGTTCGTTTGAATTTATACAATACGAAATAGATTTATAATAATAATCGCGTGGAATTGCATAATGTTTACTGCGAATTTCAAATGAAAACTTTTGCGTTCGAATCGATTTTAATGTCTTCTTCGAACATAATTTTTATACTGCTTATTTTTAACACATTGTATGCAACATTAAATAAATATTAGTTTATACAAATGATAATGTTGATTTAACTTTGATTTTTCTTTTTTGCAGATGTGTGTTTTTTTTCTTTGACAATTATTCAATTTGAAGGACACGCGCGGTATTTGAGCAGTTTGAAAAGACAGATTTTTTGGAAGAGTTGGAATAATGTGATGATTCAAGGAAAACATTGAAAAGACAGTCTCGTATTTATAAAGTATTGTGATTTTTATTTTCGATTATAAAAAAGGAAAGATTTATAAGGAATGCGGGGATTAACTAATGGGAGTGGAAAAACTTAATGACGAATTTAATTTAATTTGTGAAATAAAATTGTAGGTGGAAGCGTGTAGGTACTTAATCCATTTCAACGAGTATGTCGGAGAGAGATTTTCTATGTAATAAAGGAACCGTGGCATCTTCGGCAGGATATCCTACAGGAAGAAGCAAGGTAAGCTTCTCGTTAGTCGGACGATTGAGAAGAAGACGGAGAGCAGGACCGCAATTTAATGGAGTCGAAGTAAGCGTTACTAAACCAGCATACTAAATAATAATTAAAAAAAAAAAGAGGGAAAAAATAAAAAAATTTGGTTTTAAATTCTATTTTATCCGATTAGGAAATATTTTTAACTTAATAAAACCAAGAATATGAATAGGAATACGACAAATAAAAAACAAAATAAAGCAATGAATGAGATGATAAATAAGAAAAAAAATAAAGCAATGAATGAAATGATAAATGAAAACAAGTTTAAAGTAATAATATTAGAAGAGACGAGAAAGAATTTTTATACCTGAATAGCTGTGATTAAAATTCCGGAAGCTATCGCAACACTTAATTCATTATAATAATGAACTTTTCTGGCGTTATTTGGTAAAATACCATAAATTTGTTTAAATACGAGAATTAGACAGGGAGCAGTTGTCAGATATTCTTTTGTCCAGGTTGTTTTTAAAAATTCTAAATCAGTTATCCATTTTTTACCCATTCTTTTTTTGTAATTTATTTCTTCTTCTCTTTCCACAATCTCGCGTATTTTTGCCTTGATATTGGAATCAGTTACCACGACAAATGTCCAAGGTTGAGTGTGCGCTCCACTTGGAGCAGTACCTAGGGAAGATTTTTAAAAAAAATAAATTCTGTTTATATTTCTTCAAAAAAGAAAAAGAATTCAAAATGCTTTTTGAATAAATACAGAGTTGCCACAAGTTAGGGAAAGCAGGGTAAATGAAATTCGTCAGGGAAATGTCAGGGAATTTTATGAAAAGTACTGGAAGAATAGAAAATTTCTGAAATTATTATAAAAATTTTTGGAAAACGAAAATTGAATTTTTCTCTAATTTTTTTCACCTAAGGAACTTTTGAATCACAATGATTTTAAAACACTACTTTGCTTTTTTTATTTCTGTAAACAATAAAATTTATTTTAGATAATTAAATTATTCAAGAATATTACTTTTCCAGAGTCCATAATAATTGAATTTTTTAATTGAAATTACAATTTTTGAAAAAAGATTGACGTCTCCAAAAATTTTATTTAAACTTCTGAAAAATTTGTTTTTCAAAATATTTTAGTTCTATTTTTTAAAGTTAATAGAATTTTTATAAACAAGTAATTAAAATTTTTCGAATATAACAGAGGAAAGTTGGTCACAGTAACTAATTTTATTTTGAAAATTAAATAGAAACCCTTAAAATTTTAAATCATAAATTTTTGCTTCTAAAAATGATCGTTTTTTCAAAATTGCCACAAGTCAGGAAAATCAGGGAAAAGTCGAAGAATTTTAAGAAAAGTACTAGAAAGATATTAAATATTTAGAATTTATAAAAAAATTCTAGATTTTAGTTTCCAGTAACTTTTAAAAATATTAGATTCTTCTTGAATTTTTTTTTTGTTTGCTTTAAACTTTAAAATTCCAAAAATAATTGAATTTTAGAAGAGTTGCGTTTACAATTTTTATAAACAATTGAATTTCAACAGTCATTAAGCTGAAATTTTAGTAAATTTGAATTTAAAATAATTTTAATTAAAAGTTCTGAAGAGACAGTTTTTGGAAAATTTTTACCTAAATTTTATGTTTAAATTGAATTCTAGAAAATAATTTTGGAGAAAAATTATTAGAAATAATTGATTAAAAAAAAAAATTAGTTAACAATTCTATAAAATAATTAAATAAATTATTGTAATCTTGAAAATAGTTTTCGAGAAGATTATCAAAAGTAATGATTTAGAAATTAATTTTTAGTTGAAAATTCTAAAAAAATAATTGAATTGAAATCTGGAAATTAATTTTGGAGAAAAATGATCTAAAAATGAATTTTGATATAAAAATTCTAGAAAATAATTGAATTGGAATCTTGAAAATTATTTTGGAGAAAAATTCCCAAAATAATTGATTTAGAAATTAATGAATTTTGAGGAAAAACTCTAGAAAATAATTGAACTGAAATCTTGAAAATGGTTTTAGAGAAAAATTACCAAAAATAATTGATTTAGAAATGAATTTTCAGGTTTCTAGAAAATAATTGAATTGAAATCTTGAAAATAATTTTGATAAAGTTACAGTAACTATTCTTATATTATTAAATTTCCAAAGGTTGGAAATTTGAAATTTTTGAAAATCTAAATATATGGAAAAATATGAAAAGAAGAAAGAAACATTTTTTTCTTTATCTATAATTATTTTTGGAGAAAACCAGAATATACTTTAGAGTCTAGAAAAAAGTCAAAATTCTCTCTGGAAGTCAAGAAAAAAGAAATTTTAATTTTTGTGGCAACTCTTTTTTTATAATTGAATTCCTCTTGAAGTTTTTGTTTATAATAATCAGAGAAAAAGTCAAAATTCTGCCTGAAAATCAGGGAAAAGTCAAAGAAAATTAAAATCAAATTTTTATGGCAACCCTGCAGAGGGAAAATTTGTTTTTTCTTAAATTTTCTTCATCAACTCACCAGCTGCTCTTATAATATTATGAATAACATCCTTTGGAATTGGATCATAACTAAAAAATCGTAAAGTTCTCCGCGAATTAGCAATTTCAAAAAATTTTCTTGATTTTTCTCGCATTTTTGCTTCACTAGGTCGTTGATAATTGAAATGAATGTCTCCTAATTTTGGATTTAATGCCGGTTCGTCTTCATCTTCTTCGGTTAAAAAACTTTTTTCTGAAATCGAATTTTTATTTTTGGAGTAATGATAAATTGTGCCAATGATTAGGGAAAAATTGAATTTTAGAATACGAAAATTAAGATAAATTGTGTTATACAGTACTGAAAATTTATTTTTGATGAAAAATTTATTTTATGGAAAATGGATTTTTAAAAAATTTTAAATTACCTTCTTCATTATCTGATGTTTCTGTTTCGTATTTCTTTTTATTTCTTTCGTTCTCGATTTTTGATTTTACCCTCGGTATCATCCACAAAATGTACATATAAGTAAAAATTGATATTAGAATATAAAACCAATATTTTGACCAAAATGGAATTATGTCAGAAATCATGACCTAATTTTTAAAAATGATAAATTAATATCTATAGGGTAGTATTTAGATAAAGTCCCCCAAGGGTAAATAAAAATAATTAATTTATAAATTCTTTAAAGAGTTTCGAATTTTGATCGAATTTAAATTACTTTTTTATGTGTTAGAAAAATAACAATACAATAACAAAACTTATTTACGTGCACTTTTATATAAGGTTATGTTTTTACACGTGCAGCTTTCTCTGTGACGTTTTAAAGGGTCAACAATATACTCGTGACAATATTTTTATACAATTATCATCACATTTTAAGAGAGAGAGAAACAATTCACATTTTTAATTCTGAATTTTTTTTCAAAGTAGACACCAAAATTCTATGTAAAATCATTTCCAAATTTAATTGTATTTTAAAGAATTTTATTTAACACAAAACAGTTTTGTTAAAGAATATTTTATCTTCTCGAGAAAAATTAAGGTTAGAATAATAATAAATTATTCAGAGTCTAAAAATTGATTATTGATTTACTTTTGTTTGTATATACATTTATTATTACTATGAGTTGTAGTCATCTGGCTGAACTTTTATAAAGAGTTGTCAATTTTTTATATTAATTTAACTGGAAAAACTTATGTTTCTTAACCGAAATGGTTTATTTCATTTTAACATGCACATGTATTGATAAAACAATTTCGAAAAACAGGCAATAATTTAATAATTTGTAATTATAATTTATTCAAATTTTCGATTTCTCTGAATTCGAAAAATACGATGAAGTGAAATAAATTTAAAAATAAAACAAAATGTATTAAAATTGGAAAATTATTAGAAAAAATTTTTTAAAAAAATATTGAGAAAAAAAATCATTATCTAAATTTTGTTTGTTTTTGAAATGAAAATCTAGTTTTCTGATTTTTGTTACAGCCCTGAGATGTTGTCTTGCCGGTTGCGCATTAAGAGAAGGCAGTATACACATACCACAATGTGTGCACATCTTAGCTGTCAAATTGAGTGCAGTGTGCAAGTTTAATAAGAAATTTTACCACTTCTTTTTTTTATAAACAAAAAAAGGATTGAATCACGTGTTGAATGATATAGACGTGAAATAAATTACAAAGTGAGTAATTATCTTTTATACACTAGAGTCAATGTCTACTCATTTTTTTTTTTGAAAAAAAGATAAACACCTGAGATACGTGGGTATATTTATTCTAAATGTGAGCTACGCACATTACAAAACATGACAATTTTAATGAAATAGTTCATTATTTTGATGATTTTCATTGGAACAGAGAACTCTTTCTATTGTTGAAAATAAATCAATTGAATCTTCGATTTTTATGACTTTAAATAAGTGTGGGACGTAGTGTCACAGGGTGATCATTTTCATATATAATAAGACAGAGATTGCGCCATCTGTGCTTGAGAGAATACCTGTTTTAAAATGTTAATTAATTAACTATTACAATTGTTGAAAAAAATACAAAAATTCAAAATTGTCCAAAATTGATTGATAAATTGAAAATTAGGTTTTTAACTGCGACTTTGATAATTGATTTACTATTTAAAAATATAGTGTTTCTTTTATTTCTATGCGTTTAGATTTCTGAAATTAAAAAAAGAAAATAATTTTTGTTTTAAGTTATCATTTCCTAGATAACATAATGTCTTTTACTTTCTAAACGTTAGAAAATACCAAAGGACCTTGAATCATAATTATTTTGAAAAGTATTATGAGTGTGAAGAACAGTTTTTTCGTTTGCTCAACTAAAAATTTTGATTTAACTACCGCTGGTATTTTTGAACACGATTTTTCTATAAAAAGATCAATATTTGACAAATAATATAGTTAATTAACATTTTTCAACTCTTATTACATTCTCATCAGAGAGAAATATTTTTATTATGAATATATTTTATTTATTTAATATTTTTTACTAAATAAATAAATTATAAATAGATTTCTATTTATAAAATTACTATTTTTATTATTATAAGGCTTTGCAATTATCTACTAAAGCCTACGATTTGCTACTATTTGAATATTTTTTTCACATTTGTGACACTAAATGCTACTTTTTTTTAAGAATTTGCACCACTTTAAAATAAAAAAATGATTTTCAAAAATTTTAATAAAGTTCTTAGAAACAATTCAAAAAATTAAATAAACGTTTTTGAAGAGGACCCGCACCCGAAATTTCAACTATAACAGAATATAATTGAAAAAATGTTGTATGTTTTTTTCTGACACTATTTTGATTCAGAAATAAGGTGAAAAAATAAAAAAAAATTTTCATGATTTTTTCGGAAATTTAAAAATTTTTTTTTTGTAACTTTTGACAAAATTAAAATTTTACAAAATCCATGCCCTTAAATATAAAATGGAGTGTAAGGAAACTCATTAATACAAAAACCATGAAAAAATAATAAAATTTGTGAAAGAAGAAGCATTTTTTTGTAAATTTATGGTTTATAATGTTATACCATAAACTTATAAAAAATGCTTCTTCTTTCACAAATTTTATTATTTTTTCATGGTTTTTGTTTTAATGAGTTTCTTACACTCCATTTTATAATGAAGGGCATGGATTTTGTGAAATTTTAATTTTGTCAAAAGTTACAAAAAAAAATTTTTTTAAAAATTTTTGAATTTCCGAAAAAATCATGAAAAATTTTTTTGTTTTTTTTCACCTTATTTCTGAATCCAAAATTGTGTCAGGAAAAAAATATAAAAAATTTTTCCAATTATATTCTATTATAGTTGAAATTTCGGGTGCGGCTCCCCTTAAATGATTCAATTATTTTCACAAACAATGAAATTTTTCTCTACAATTAAATTATTTTAAAAATTTATTATTTCAATAAAATTTCTAAAAATAATTATTCAATTATTGAAGAAGAAATTGTAATAAAATTCTTTGTAAAAATTCAATTATTTTCATAAATAATAAAATTTTCACAGAAATTCATTTATTTAAAGTATTGTGATAAAGATTTTTCGAAAAAAATCAATTTCTTGTCAAATTTTCAATAAAATTTTTGTTAAATTTCTCGAAAAAATTTAATAAACTTTAATAAAATAATTAAATTCTTCGCAACAATTCAATTTATTTTTACAAATAATAAAAATTTTCACAGGAATTCAATTATTTAAAAAAATTGTTTAAAAAATTCGTTGCAAAAATTAAAAATTTGATTAAAATCGTTCAAAACAATTCAATTATTAGCCAAAATTTTGACATTAAAAAAAATTCAACTTTAATAAATAATCATTTATTCTATTATTTTTTTTTTAATGTTTAATTAATTGAATTCTCGTAGACAAATTTTAGATAATAATAAATTGAATATGAGAAACATTATAGTACGAATTTTTAGAAATAATTAACTTTTAGAAGATTTTTAAATTGAATTCCTGGGAAATTTTAATTGTAGAACTTAATCTTTTATTTAAAAAATTATTATTTTTTTTTTTGCTAAAAAATTATTAAATTTTAGAAGAATTTGCAATTTTTACCAACAGTTAAATTTTTAAAATTTGTTAAATTGATATTATTTAAAATTTTAATTTCATTATAAATAAAAAAGAATTTAATTATTATTTATTTAACAAATTGGTTAAAAAGAAGTTGTAATTTTCAGAAGTAATTGAATTTTTGCAATTTATTAAATTTTTAATTAAGTTTACAATTTTTTTTAAAAAAAGATTGAATTTGCAAAAAATTTGATTTCAAATTCTAGAAAATTTGGTTTTTAAAATATTTTACTTCTATTTTTTAAAGATATTTGCATTTGTATCCTAAATAATTGAATTTCAAAAGTTTCCAAAGTAAAATTTTAGATTTTAATTTTTAAAAATTTTTGTTCCAAATTCTGAAGAAGTTGGTTTTTGAAAAATTTTTATTCAAATTTTTGTTGAAATTAGTTAAATTTTTAAATATATATTTAATTGACAAATTTTCGAAAAATCGCAATTTTTTATAGGAAAGCATTTTTTTATATAAAAATTGGAGAAAAATTATTAAAAATAATTGGTTTAGAATAAAATTTTAATTAAACATTCAACAGAATAATTGAATTTAAATGTTGAAAATAAATAAATAAGAAATAAGAATAAGTACCTATTTAATTATTTATTTAACAAATTGAATACTTTTTGTATTCAAGTTTTTAATATAATTTAATTTAGAAATAACAGAAAAAATTGATCTTTTGAAAAATAATTACAATTTTTGGGTATTATAGTTAAATTCCCCTAAATAATTTTATAAAATAAAAGTAAATTTTTCAATTAATGGAAAATTTTCAATTCAATGTAATAAATTTGATTGAAATAAATTTTTTATCTTGAAGAATTTTATTTTTATTATTTATTTTAAAAAGTTATTTTTATAAATATATTATCGAGTGCGAAGCCTGTAGTAGAAAAATAATGAATAATTGAAAAAAAAGATTGATATTTATAAAATAGAGAAATAATACAGATTATAAAATTATGATGCGGTTAATGTGGGAATTTTTGAAAATATAAAATTTTGATTCAAGGCACAATTTCTTATTAATAATTATATTTCAGGTACTCGCATGGGATTTCACCCCCTGACGAGAATTCTAAGGTATCCGGAGGCTTCGCAGGTGTCGAATTTGACAAAAAAAGATTCCAGATGGAAAGTGCTATGCAACCTCCCCTTCCCCCTCCACCACTCACTATGGCTTCTTCAAACACCACCTGCACGGACACCACGGTCACCCACGTTCTCACTTATGGTATGTGTTGAAATTTATCCTTCAAAAATGCTTACACTACAGATATCTGTAGTTTGTTCAGAAATTATTAAACACTCATTGTTCACAATTTCTGTTTGTAATTTTTCTTTCTAAATTGCACGTCATTAAAAGGAAATTAAACAAACAAAAAGTCTATTATAATTTTCTTTTGTACTTTCTATTTAAAGGAGAATTTATTTATGATTCGATATTTTTGAGAATTATAAATAATTTTTTTTATGTTTGTGCAAAAGAAAATTTATAATTATACGATTTTAAACAAAATTATTATTTTTTCGCATTAAAACATAATGTATAATGTAATAAATAAATTTAAATATTACAATTTGTTCACAAAGTGTATTCGTGAGCAAGAACATAAATTATTTGGCTTGGTACCAAACTAATTAACGTTCATTGTTCGAAATTACTGTTGGAATTTGTTTTTTAAATCGCACATCGTTAGGGGAAAATTAAACAAATATTTGTTAAAATTTTCTTTTTTATCCCTTAAAAAAAAATCGTTTCAATACCTATTTCAAAACTAAACAATTTTTTTTAAATACAGACAAAATTTAATAATATACGACTTTAATTTTATGAACTTTGTATTAAAATTCGTTCACAAGATATTCGTGAGTGAAAATAATATTTGGCTCAGTACCAAACTAATTAACACTAAGAGATTAAAGAGTCACTTGTTTTCCTTTCTTTTAAATTAAAATTTACTGATTTGCATACACAGGTAAACATTAATTAAAAAGGTTGATACTTTGTAAAATTAGTACCTTAATTATCATCACATTAGTGATACTATTGGATGAATAGGGATTCTTAAATTTCGAAATAGTTATAAATTCTAAAATATCCACCCCTCAAATAATGTTCGTTATTGTAATTAAAATTGGAAATGTATTGTATTGTAAATCAATTAAAAATTTGTAAAGTCTAGACATGAATGTATAATTAAAAATGAATTTAAGACTAGACATAATTATTAGAAAGGTTATTGGTCCCGAATAGTCCAGGTAAATATTACTTGTGTCGGCCACGAGTAAGATTAAGATTCACAATACAAGCTTTTCAATGCGCCCCTTGCCCTTAAACATTCAAGTTCAGGTCTGAGTTTTTGAGTCATAAATTTTGTTAAGAAATATACATTTTTCGGGAATACCCAAAAATTTCCACAATGCTTGGTTACTGTAAATTCTAATTTGTTAAAAACCGTGTAATAAATAAATTTGTTTAGGAATATAATTGACACGCCAGGAAAATAATTATTAATTCTAGAAATTAAATTAACTCTGAAAGTTCTTAAAAACCGTGTAATTAATAATTTTGTTTAGGAATATAATTGACAAACCATGGGAAATAATTATTTATTCTAGAAATTAAATTAAGTTTGAAAATTTTGAATTATGAATTTTGAATCAAATTGGAATTTAAATGTACTGTTGGAAATTTTATTTTTTGCTTCTTTAATGTTATTCTAATTTTATTAGAATTTTTTATAATTTTATTTAATTTTATTTAGAAGATCGTTAAAGTTTTGGGAAAATTTTGATGTGAAGATTTAAAAAGATTTAAAGAGATTTTGAAAAATATTTTTTTTAATGGTGTTCTAGAATTTCTAAAAAAATTCCAGTTTGAACGGTGAAATTCTAGTTTCTCTATAGGCGCTCTGAATTTTATAAAAACTATTTTGTTGGTTCTGATCATTATCATTGAGGGCTTTAAAGTATTAAATTTCGAATGTTTCTTTAAATTACTTTTTGATATTCTTTGTTAAATTAAGACGCTCTGATTGTTTTATTTTTTAAAAGTTAAAGTTTCACAAAAAAAGAAAGATATATTTGTCGTAGAATCTTCTAAACTTTTTATATGTTTCAAATAAATTTTGTTTGGTGTAAATGAAATTTAATTTCGTTCAAATAAAAATTTTTTTGTGTCGAATAAAATTAGTATTAAAAATAATTTACTAGGCTCTAAGGCAAATATACTTTTATTTAACTGATATAAATTATATTTATTCAAATAAAAATTTCTCTCAATTAATTCACAAGTTTTAAACATTCAGATTAACGAAATATTTTTTATTAAAAATATTTTCATAAATTACTGATTGCAATAAAAATTAGAAACTTGAATTTTATATTTAGAAACTTTATAATTATTTTTTTTAATACGAGATGCAAAATTGTAATAAAATAAATTGTAATAAAAATTTTTTTTGTAGAATAAATAAACAAATTTCGTTCGTTTGAGCGTTCAGAACTTTTGGATCATTTTTGGGTGTTAAAAGGCTTAAAAATATTTAATTAACAATTTTAATTAAAATAATTGAACAAAATAAATATTTTTTATTAGAAATATTTTCATTTACTGATTGAAATAAAAATTGAAAACTTAAATTTAATACTTAGAAACTTTATAATTAATTTTTTTTAATACGAGAAGCAAAAATGTAATAGAAATTTAATTTGAAGAATAACTAAACAAATTTCTTTCTTTTGAATGTTCGGAATTTTAGAATCATTTCTGGTTGTTAAAACTCTTAAAAATATTTAATTGATAATTTTAATTAAAATTGAATTGAATTTTATTTTTAAAAACTTGATAATTTATTTTTTTAATACGAGACGCAAAATTTTAATAAAATAAATTGTCATGAAAATTTTAATTAAAGAATTTATTAATTAATAGATAATAATTTTTTTAATAAACAAATTTTCGTTCGTTTGAACATTCAGAACTTTAGAATCATTTTTGGGTGTTAAAAGGCTTAAAAATATTTAATTAACAGTTTTAATTAAAATTGAACAAACGAAACATTTTTTATTAAAAATATTCTCATAAATTACTGATTGAAGTAAATATTAAAAACTTAAATTTTATTTTTAAAAACTTGATAATTTATTATTTTCATACGAGACGCAAAATTGCAATAAAATTTTTATTTAGAAGAATAAATAAACAAATTTTGTTCGTTTGAATGTTCGGAACTTTAGAATCGTCTTTGGTTATTAAAACAGTTAAAAATATTTAATTGACAATTCTAATTAAAATTATAGTTGAACTTATTCAAATAGCTGTTTATTGGTGCTGATCCAACTCTAGAAACTATAGTTCAACATCTTAATACTCTTCTCACTGCTTTTATTTTTAATCTTTATTGTTAAAGTTTAATATACTTTAAAGTTCAAAAAAAGGTTGTTTAAAAAATTCTATTTTATAAAATGTTAATTTAAAAACTAGTTATTTACTTTATAAAAAAAATAATATTGAAATTTATTCACATTATGGTATAAATTTTAATCGGTAAAACTTGTGTTCTCCCTTATTGGTATTAATGTTGAATATTTTAACCGTTTTTAAGATCTGATTATCTGATAAAAAAAAATCGTGTTTGAATACGATAATGAATGGGTCAGAAAAGTTCAAGCAGTATTCTTTGCATTATTTTTCTATTATTTAGTTATTGATTTTCATTTAGTAGTAGCGTTATATAGGTATGTTGTGTGTTCTATAGAAGAGTCTTCTTCGCACTGATTTTACTTTTTTTTTACTGCTCCACACGTGTATCGATAGGTTTTTAACGCAGGCTGTTGGTGTGGTTGTTTGATAAATCGGTTCTCCAAAAGTCATGCCTTCGTGTTTTCCCGAATCAGCTGTTAAACGTGAAGGGTGGGTTTGAAAGCATGCGGCATTCAAAGTGGGGGGTATTCTCACTCCTTGGCTGAGTTTGAAGTCAGTCGACAGCTGAACGTTGTACGCAACAGACTGTATAAACTCTCCGTTGAGTTAAAAACCAAGAACCAAAGTGCCTCTTGATCTTTTCCTTCTTGCATACATGTCAGCTGCTGATATTTGATCTGCCCAAGTGAAAGTAAAACTTTTTTTTTAATTTCCTCCCGAATCCTCGGAAAGACTTTCGCTTTCCCTTGGTTGTCTATTTAGTATCGATCAAAAGTAAATAGTGTCAATTTTGTCTGTGAATGACTTTGGATTTATAATAAAAGTTTGAGTGTTGTAATTAATTTTAGTTAATTGAGTGTTGACAGTGATTTTCAAGTTACAAGGAAGGAATAGAGAGATCCAGAAGAACTAACTGTCGTCAAGGCGACGATAAAAGCTTGGAATTTTTATGCCCCAGGGTTAAAAATACAACACGCCCGCATGCACAGTTTTTCTCTCTGGAAAAAAAAGAATCAGAAATCACTTGGCTGTTGAGAGTTTTGTAATCGACCGGAAAGAGGACACGATCAAATATCGCTCTTGTTGAAAATAAAAAGAGTCGAAAATCTTAATGATAAAAATATCGCAAGAGTGAGCTGTTTGTAGAAAGAATTAGGTCTTCGTCAAGGACAAGAGTATTCGAGAGTCTTGAAGTGATCTAAGTGAATTAGTTTTTTTTCTACAATTTTTTGTTGCAATATATTAATTTTTGCGGCGCATTTGGTTCCGGTTTGGATTATCGATCCTTGGCCTTGCACGTGTTTCTGGCGGAGCGATTCACGTAAACTATCTCTAGATCTTCGAGGAGCAGACATACGAAGGTCATGTAACAGGGTCCGTCCGTTAGTGGAAAATGTGTCAGTAGGATAGACACGATCCCGTTTTCTTCGACTCTCACTAAACTAACATAGCATTAAATTTCTGTTTATCAACTTTCTGCGAACTGTCAAAATAATTATTTGTCGATCTATTTCGTTTCTTGTGTTTCTGGAAATATTCAAGCAAAACACTGCTTGCTACTAATGATTTCTGTTGTTTGTAAGAACGAAAAAAAGAAAAAAAAACTTATCGCATTGCCAGAACGTAGCCATTGACCGCATTGCGTCAGAAGCTGAGTGATCGCAATAGTTGATCATATAATTAATCATCGTTCTGCAATTGTGGAAGAAGTTCTTTGATTGTAAATTAAGAAGAGAGTTTCTCTTCAAGGTTCTTTATCTTCAAATGGTGTTTCAGTGAAGTTTCGTTATGAGAATTGGAAAATTTAAATCGAAATTATTTAAAAAAATGCTTCGTGTGTCATCTTGATCTTTGGTGAACTTGATCTTAAGGATCAATAATAAGAGGAAGAGAAAAAAGAAGAAGAAGAAGAAGAGGAGGAAGAAGGAAATAATCGTGTACGATTTGAGTGTTTAAACTTATCCAGAATGAAAAATCCGGAGCACGAGAGTGGCTATTTTGAGGATGGCAGCGACGTGGAAATCGCCTCTGAAGAACATCCAACTGGGGAGGAGAAGAAATGGTGCTCTGAATCCTACGGTCTCACCAAAGCCATCAATGAATTGGATGTTCGAGATTCACCCGCATCTCCGGATCCGGTTGTCGAGGAGCATCAGTGCAATAAAGGTATTCCCCTTCATTTCTCTACCTTGCACAGTCATCCCAGAAATACTTGCCTTTTGTCTTCCACTCGTCAGCTGAGGCCTGCACGTGTCAGATTCAATGTCAGTTGTCGAGGTTGATTACCATCTTTGCCACTTTTATTCTTTTAAATCGCAATTTTTCTTTTTATTTCGAAATTCAATTTACTGCGTTGAAAACGTTTAAAGCATTTAAATCGTTTAAAGGAATTATCGTCTGAATTATGTATATGGTCCAGATATATTTACATTCCGAATTTCTACATTTCTCTCAAATTAAATAGAACAGATTTCTTAGATTTTCAGTTTCTTTTGCAAGATATTTAGTAATTTAGTTGTTTCTAGATTTTTTCTTTGATTTCCGTTTTTCTATCTCTCGAAATTCCGGATAGATAATGTTTATATCGTTTCTCAAATAAATTATTAAGATTTTCTAGAATAGTAATTTCTCGAAACTTTTTCAAGTTAATTTTTAATTTTAAATTTTATTGAAACTTGAAATCGACCTTTATATGTAGTTATATTTGAAATCGATGAAAATGCTTACAATTTGGTGAGTGAATACTAAGTGAATTATACACACGTGTAACAAAACTTGGCAGCTCTTGAACTTTTCAAGTTTAGAAACAATAATAATAATTTATGATAATTGTTGATAAACATACAAGTTTTACTGAATGTTAAATTTATAATAAGGAATTTAAAAATATAGATATTTGCCTAATTATCTATTAGATATAAATTTATTTCATTAGATTGGGAAATTTTGAAAATTAAAAAATTAGAAAATTTAATTCTTTTAATACAGAGTTTCATAATCTATACATTATAATTGGATAATTATAGAATTTAATAAAGTGGTTCTTTTTTTGAAATGTTCTCTACATTTAAAAAAAAGAAGCATTAATTTTCTTTTGAAAAAACAGGAGTACAATTTGAGTGCAACTATTAGAAATTTGTAAATTATTTTTTTATTTGACCTTAGAGCATCTGTTAGTGCAATTATTTTTAACCTGATAGTTACAGCGTTGTGTAATAATCAACGTATTATGTAATTGTACGCAACGACATTCACACGTGTCGCTGACAAAAAGCAATGCACTTAAAAAAGGATGAAATTTCATTTAAAAAAAAAAAAAAAAAGTTCTTTAAAAGTAAAATTTAATGAATCTTGATTATTTATTTTTATTGATTTTTAAATACTACTTTTGGTTAGAATAAGGGGAAGATTGTACTTCTTTAAAAGTGTATTTTAATAGTTTTTAAATTGATTTAAAAGTAAGGCTTATTTGTTTTTTATGGGTCAAATCAGGATCTAAATTTACTTCTTCTCCCCCCCTGTAAAGCGTTGAAAATAAACGACTATTCAAATTTAAAGCTGAACACGTGTCTTGACAAGTAATTTAAAAATCGATATTTTGAAAATCAGGACAAATTTTGTTCTACATAATTTGTTTTTGTATTTCACAGAAGATATTATTTTTCTATTTTTGGGAATTTTGGGTTAATTTTTTTTCGAAATTAAAAAGTAATAATTTGTCTTTAATATTTCGTAATGAGTTTTTAAATTAACGGTAATTAGTGTTGTTTTTTCTACTTGAGCTAAGTTGAAAATTATTTATTGCAAAAGAGGCGTATACAATTTGAAGGAAAAATGAGGAAATTTAGAAACTATAATAGAAAACGAAGAGATCTTTTCTTTTTTTAATTTGAGGAGAGTTTGGAAAATTTGTAAATTTTCATGTTTAAAACCGCTTAAAATTTATTTATTCTTTTACACAAGGTGTTTTTATTACCTTTAGAGTCCATTGAAAATGAATTATCATTTAGACAGACATTTTCTGCTTGTAAGTTAAAATGGGAACAATAGATGGCTTTTCAACCAAATAGACTTTGAATGTTGAAAGTTTTACTATGTGAATACCTGAAACATTATTTCATCCCGCAGGCAGGTCATTATGAAAAAAAGCCTCAGAATATCGAAGAACCAACAACATTGTGGAAAAATAGTATATACCCTTCATAAATTCGAATTCAAATTTCCATTTTCTGGCAAACAATAATTTTACAATGTAAAAGAATTTTTATTTTAATTATTTAAATATTTGTTTATACCTGTAAATTTTTATATATATACTTTTCGAATTTTTATGTTTAATCGAACATTTTCGATTTCATGAAATTTTCTTTTCTTGGCAGTATTTAATCATTTATATTGCATGCAAAATTCTGCTAAACTGCTCCGATAATTGATTAAATGAAAAAAGTATTCCACGAAATGAAAATGGTGATTAAATGTGGAAATTCTCTGAAATTAAAAAAATTCGATGAACTAAGATCTGCTGTGTAAAATTCGGGCAAATGGAATTTCCGTTAAATTATAAATTTTCCTGGTAACGAAATTTTAAGTTTGTTAAAATCGACTAGTTGGAAATTTAAACACTTTATTAATATCAGAATTAGAATTTTATTTCGTTTCATATGAAAAACATTAACTAGATTAGTTGATTAAATTATTTATTATCACAATCAATAATTAATGAATTAAAGATTAGGTATTAATTGCAATAATGATTAATTAATTAAAAATTTTTAATAATCAAGTTTTTATATTTTATTTTTATTTACTTTTTTTTATTTATTTTTAATTTTTAAATTTTTTTAAAATTATTAATTGGAATAATTATTAGTTTCAATAATCATCCAAGCCAAGTATTTGGGTTTAAAACAAATTCTTTCTTCTAAATAAAATATGAAAAACTAATATAAAGTAAATAGAACGTTTTATGAAAAAAAAAAAAAAATGAAAAACAATAAAATATATGGCAAATACTCGAGTCATAATGAATAATAACTTCGCCAATTAAAATTGAAGGCCAGAGTGCTAATTTTCAAACAAATTAATTCTCCATAAGCTGATTCTAGTTCCTAATGCTGTTTGTTATCTTAAAAGACTAATTTAATTGACAAGTTGTACATTTCATGTATGATTAAATTGTAATTCCGCGTGTATTCTTTACCTTTATTGAGGATTTGTTGTTTTTTTTTTGTTTTTTGTTTTTCAATTTTCAACGTATCTGAAATAATTGACGTTTTCTTGTTGTGTTACTTAAGTATCGAAGAAAGCTTATTCAAAGGATACTTAAATTTGAATTCTTGTGATGTAACACGGTGACCTAAATCTAACCAAGTCTTCTCTTGCCTTTCTGATTACGCTTCTTTTACAAACGTAGTAAAAGTGCTTTGAGTTGGTGAAACGCCAATGAACAAAAATAATAAATACCGCTTTTCCAAGGGAAAGTCATGGAATAAATCTATTTCTAGACATTTTGATAAAGATTTTGTGATAGAAAGGAGATCAATTAAATTAATTATTATCTTTCATATGGTGTTGGGAAATTTATTTCTATCAATTTTCGGTTCTTTTTGCTTCAATTGTCAATTAAATAAATTATTATCATTTATGGTGTCAAATTCATTTATATCAATTTTTATTCTTATTTTTTTTCTTTGTTATTTTGTTTATATTTTCTTTGTTATACTTTTTGATTGAATATTTCAATTTGTTGTTTGAATAATTTATAATATTTTTTTTTAAATACATTAATAAAATTGAAAAATATTGAATTATTTTGCCATCGTTTGGTGATTAGTATAAACTCATATTTTCTAAAGAGATCAAAAATCGGAGTTTAAAAATGGTTTCGAGTAATACTCATTAACGTAATCCTTTTTGCAGACCTCTTGACCGATGTAAATAACATTTATCATTAACTGTCATCATTTAGTTTTCAAAAATGATTAAATTGGAAATTTCTCCGGTGAAAAATTTCACTTTATTTTAATTTATCTATTTTAAAAAGAAACCATAGTCGGGATATTTTTATTGTTGAAGTTTTAGAAAGAATACTTTTACAAGTTTCTTTAAAAAAAAATATTTAAACATTAAAATAATAATAAAGAATATTGAAAATTAAAATAATATTAAACATTAAAATAATAAAGAACATTAAAAATTAAAAATATATTAAACATTAAAATAAAGAAATCAAAGTTTCGTTAAAGAATTTCTCATTAAAAAATAATTCCTCTTTTATATTTAAATGACATTGAAAACAATATTTAATATTCGTTTGAACAAATTCAAGTACTGTTCTTAAATATAGATCACAAAATGATTGTAAAGAATAACAAAGTACGATATATATATAAAAACTGATATAAATCACTGATTGTGATTTTTAAATTTTAATTTATGTATATTACAGAATGAATTTCGTTAATTTGATGACCTTTATCATTTTAAAAGTTTTTTTTTTAATTGTAAATTTAATTTTAAAAGACTTTCTGAAACATAATTTCTAAGGAAGTCTAAATGTCACATTATTTCCCAATCGGAAATAACGTGCCTTATCATCATAAAATTTCTAGTCAAGGAAACAAATATTCTGAGTAAAATAAAGCTCATAGGAATTATTAATCGCTATAAAAATCATTACGAAATAATGAAATTAATTTTATCTTGAGACTCAAAGGGTAATTGAGGTAAATAAAATTAAAGAAAGTGCAAATTAGAACTATTAATTATTGAATTTTTAATTATTATTAATTAATAATTTTAGATCTATCTTTTTCTCAATGCAGCAAGTTGTGAAACAAGATTTAACGAGTATGTGTAAACAAGAGAAAAAAATATTTACAGAGAAAAAAGGAAATCTTAAAAGGAATTCGCGTTTCACCTCAAAACATTGAATTCAAAACAAAAATCGTATATGCAAAAACATGTTTTTGCATGAGTTTTTCTTGTGAAATATTATAATCAGCCTTTAAGTATATATATTTCTATATATATTAAAGATTCTTTTAAAGATATCACAAGTTTGCCTCAAAAATTACACACATTTAGAATAACAAACCACAAAAAAGAAATGATAAAACAAAGTTGTTTGTAGCACTTGGATTTATTCCAAATATTCCAAAAATTCA